CAGATTCTACAACATTTAGAAAAAAGAGCTAATTTGATGCAAGACACTTAATCAACGTGTATGACTCTATTCCAAAACAGAAGGTAATATGTAATATGTAACAATATGTATAAAAGGTGTTAAATTCACCTAAATGTTTAGACAATATACAGCTTAGCATATATATCAACCTCCAAAGGTTTTTTCCTTCAGAGGAAGTTCCCTTTACTAGTTATGATTTTACATATTATTAAATGACCAAGACTGTATCCAGTAGACAATATAATAAATATTTACCATTGTGTATTCATGAGTCTTCACATAGTTAATATTTAGGTTCACCACAGTCAGGACAGAAAAAGGCATTTCAACTGATGAAACAACATTTGAAATTAATAGGAAATAGAGACATACCTGTATTAAAGCGTCCCAGCAGCAATATTCGGACTTGCGGGCAATTCTTTTCCTTACACAAAAATGCAGGAGGAAGATAAAAGATGACAGAACACGAGACGCAGATGAGAACGGTGAGGTAAGGACCACCACGCTGGCCGTTGTCCTTTTGTTTTTGTGTCTTGTGCGTTCTTAGACATAAAGAAGAACAGTGCAGGTGTGCGAGAGCTGGATCAGGAGCGAGCGCGAGAGAAAGGGTGGGGTGGGTATAGGTGAAATGGCAGCTCAGTCATCTTGTGTTGCTTCCCTCTGTGTGTGTGTGTGTGTGTGTGTGTGTGTGTGTGTGTGTGTGTGTGTGTGTGTGTGTGTGTGTGTGTGTGTGTGTGTGTGTGTGTTCTGGTGAATTTGTTCCGTGCATTCAGGTCTCATGGGAGCACTGGTCCTGATTTCTGCCACCCCACCTCTTGTGACCTCTGTCCCATCCCCGCAGGTCACCCTCACCAGGCCACTGATGTATATTCATTAGTGTAGTGACATGGCATTTTAACAGCTCGTTAGCATACTGAGACTTCAGCAATAGAGGACATTTACATTCAGCGTGGACGGCTCGGTATGCGTGCGTGTTTGTGTGCATGCGCGCATCTGTACATCTGGCAGTAGCTGCAGAACTGTCTCATACTATCTATGTATGGATGATGTTGCCTGATTTAGAAACTTAGGATGTGGTTTCTGCAGCAACACTGAGATCAGGTTCCTGCCCCGCCTCATTCACCTTGAGGACCTAGAGATACTGTACAGAAGGAGGGATGAGACAGAGGGAAAAGAGAGGGTTTGGGGGATGGGCTGGGAAACATGGAGATCAATGTAAGTTGCTGTTTGTGACATGTAGAAAATAGTAGCACTGTATTTTATTTGGTCACTACAAACTGTTTTAAATGCTTTAAGTGAATTAATTATAGAGAAGGCCTGCAGGCCAGAGATGTGCTGCTAATCCTGCGTTCACCTGTGAGAAATCACAATTATTGGCCTTATTTTAGTAAATAAGCTTAATTTTAGGACAAGAAGCTGTATAATCAACTTTTACCAGAGACACATTGCAACAAAATACAAATATCCAACATTTATCATATATAGATTTCATGAGTATGACCTTTGACCTTTTTCA